TTAAGGAAAGTGGGTGGGCGAGTCAATTTGTGCTTTTCAAAATACTATTGGTTGGTTTTAGGGATGGGGGAGGGTGGGTCAGACAATCGATCAGTCAGTCAAACAGTCAGTTGACAGCGGCCTCTAGTGGATTTACAAGAGAACAGCAGGCGCGAATGGAACCTTAAAAAGCATACACATCGGCCTCTAGTGGAATAGCAAAAACAAAAACTGCCAAAAATATAACTCCTGGGACTTATTTGACGGTCTCCAGCAATGTATACAGAGATTCATTTTCAGAAAGAGCCTGGGTTGGTTTTGCATGTTCATGTTCTTGGTTAGTAGATTGTCATTATGTGGAATTTTGTGACTGTTCGAACGCATTCGACTGTATGATCCATTTTCCCTATAAATTAAAAATTTGATGTTGGCAAGTTGTATTTAAAACCTGTATTTACAGTTGGCAACTTAAGATTAGGAAAACTGCATCGTAATACCTAAAACTGGGCTTTATTTATTTATCAGCATGAATGCAGGTTTCAGTTTAAAGTCAAATCAAATATTCAATACTATATTCAAAAATATACTAGTATTCAATAATACTTATAGTTAATAATATTTAAATCTATTTCTGATGTTTCAGTATATATCAGTAATTGATTGTATCACAAATGATTTACATGCCAGATTGGAGCCAAGTTTAAAGAAAAAAGCAAAGTGAGAAATTGCTATAAAAAAGCTAAATTAATCAATTTTCCTTCAGTTCCTAGTCCTTGATTTATCAACAAGGAACTTGCAATCTCCAACAGAAATACAACAAATTGCTACAGAGGTGGAGCATATTGAAAATAAATAAATAAATAAAATTCAAAGAAAAATGTAAACCTCATTGACGAAGACCCCCGCACAATAACAAAATGGATTCATTGTGAGTTATTGCAGTTTTTGACTGTCACATATCTTTCTGAAAAGCCCCTTCTGAGTGAGCTATCGATCGGTTATATAAAAGTTCAATGCCACTTGCTGCCAAGCGGATGAAGTGTGAATATTGCTCCATCACTTGTAGTTATGAAATTGCTTTGTCTCAAAACAGAGTTCCTAGAAACATCGATACTGTCAGTTTACAAAAGCCTGTGGTGTTTCTTGTTCTTCTCATAAATTCAACATTCACACCAGGGTGGCGATGTGATGGCTATTTTAGAGAATGGCATAAATAGCACTGCTTTCTTTTAATTAAAGCAACTGTTTGAGACTTTGCATGAATGGTTACATGAAATATTCATGGACATGGATACATATTGTGCAGCAATTCAGGCCTACTGAAGCAAATCTCTAGCATAAAGATACAGTATATTTCTTTATAAGTGGTGAGATTTTAATCGATTGTCTTTTAAGGTGAGTTGGTATTCTAAAAAAATTATTTAAAGTTGTTGTTTTTAGACAGATAAAAGCAACCAGATCTAAAGCTATTCTTATATGCTATATAAACAAACAAAAACAAAGTCTCATTGTTGTGTCTGTTTACTTCAGTTTTTTAACAGCCACGGCATGCACTAAGTACTTGTGTTTTTATGGCCTCCAACAACTTTTGAAGATCTAAAGGTTGCACATATGATTAGTTTTGAAAATAGGGCTACATTCATACAGCGTTTAGCCTTTTAAGTTGCATTGTGTATCTAATACCAGACAAAACTAAGGTCAGTTCCTATCTGTATTCTCAAAATAGCCTTGAAAAACCCCTGTAACCATAGTGATAGATAATGCCAGTATATATGAGATTAATTCTCTGGTAGCTTCCCTTAAAAATGCTATAGTAGTCTCTCCATGTTACTTTGATGGTTATTAATTACTTCATATTGATCTGCAGAGTTATTTCTACATTCAAAAGGTCCAAAGAATTTCATGACCCTATACTGCATTTTTGTTAATCTGGTTGATGGAATGGGATTTTTCTACACTTAAACATGTTAACAGGTTATTTAGAGGCTGCAGTGAAAAACTGTAATACATCTAAAAGAAACATACAAACAATTTAATTACAACAACAATGAAAAATCTGTTTAACTGAAATATGAAATCAAAGAATGTTTAAAAAATATTATGGGAACCATTTGTTTATGTAAGAGTTACTTTTTGTGACTTGTGAATTCAGTATATAGCATGCAACTGTGTGAAAAATCCGAAATGCAGAAAATGAGTGCTGAATCCAAAGAGAAACTTTAAACTTGAAGTTTGTAAGAAATAAGGTTGCTTATGCATCACTCAGTGTTGTAATGTAGGGCTGCATAATATGCTGTTTTATCATCATTATCGTAATATGCACATCCGCAATAATCACATCACAAAGATATGCAATGTTGAGATCGAATTATAGCTGACCAGGAGCTACAGAATTGTATTTAATCACTGTATTTATGCAACTTATACGATTTATGCAAATAATAATAATAATAATAATAATAATTTTTGTTTTGTTTATTTTACTTTCCCAATGGTAGATATTAGCTTGTTTTAAGAAAAAAAAACCACTCTTAATTCTGACCTTTTTCTTCTGAAAGAATTCAATATTTTTATTTGCTCTAAATTATTTTTTTGGACTAGAAACAAGACAAAGCAAAGTAAGAAAAGCATTTTTGCATTGTGATTATTACATTTCTGTATCTGAATACTATTAGACCCATCAGAAAATTGTCAAACAGCGATATTCAAATCATGTGAAACCATATTTATATCGCAATATTTATAGTAGAAAAATAAAATATATCAAAATAACAGATTTTTTTTTAGTAATTTAACATTTAGTAATTTAATTTTCTCTTGCAATTCTAACATTTTTTTCTTTGAGTTTTAAATTTATATCATTATTTCATAAATCATATCATTGCATATCATTATATATCATAAATTTATAAAAAAATTTTTTTTTAATTGTGAGTAAAAAAGTAGGATTAGTGATACTGGATGGCAAAAAAAAAAAGTCCCAGTTACCTTGTTTATTTTTAATGATTTGTCCTATGGTGGAATTGGTTTTAATAGAATATTCATTTGAATTTTATTATTTATTTATATTATATTTATTTGTATTGATTTATCAGACGTGACTTATATATACATTAAATATACATTAAATATTAATGTTCATATTTTTATGTACTAATTTATTTTTTAAAAATTGTAAGTTTTTAATTTCTACATTTAAGAACAAAATTAAAACGATAATAGATAACATTACTCAACAAATAGTTAATAAGAGTTTTAATAATATCTAAGCTGTTAATAAAAAATAAAGCCTCTGTAGCATGGTAATCACACATTCACCAGTTTTTTTTTTTTTTTTTGCAATCATAAACCGCCGCATTTGAAAAACTGTCATGGCTATTTTTACAATGCAAAAAAAGTATTACCTTTTTACCATAATAAAGTATGAAATCAAAAGAACGTGAAAAAATGATATGAAAGCCATTTGTTTCTGCAACAGAATTAAAATCAAAAAGCTAATTAATACATTTTTGTGAGTTGTGAGTTTAGTATAGAGCAAGCTACTATATGAAAATTCAGAATTGAGAGAAATGAGGGCAGAATTCAAAGAGAAACTTCAAACTTCAAATTTGTAAGAAATAAGCTTGCTTTTATTTATATATATATATATATATATATATATATATATATATATATATATATATATATATATATATATATATATATATATATATATATAGCTCAGTAATATAATTTGCTGTAAATTTAGTATTCTGATTTTTCTTGCAATTCCAACATTTTTCTTCTCTGAATTGTGAATTTATATCTTACAAATATTTGAAATTGTGAGTAAAAAGTAGGAATAGCAAGACAAAAAGTCTCAGTTACCTTGATTATTTTTATTGATTGGTCCTATGATAAAGTTGGCTTTCCATTGAATATTTATTTATATAATATTTAATTGTATTGATTTATCCTATGGTGGAAGTGGGTTTCCATAGACTACACTGATGTGCTTTAAATAATATATATATATATATATATATATATATATATATATATATATATATAAGATTTATGTTCTTATTTTTAAACTTTTAATTCATCATTTTCTTAAGTTATTAATTTCTACATTTATAAAAAACGGTAAACAGCATTATTAATAGATTATATCTATTTTCAGAATGTCTAAGCTGTTAATAATAATAATAATAATTGCATGGTAACCATTTTGTCTTTCACTCATTTTCTTTTCAGCTTAGCCCCTATTTTATCAAGGGTCACCAAAGTGGAATGAACCGCCAACTTTTCCAGCATAATTGTACGCAGCATGCCCTTAAGCTGCAACCCATCACTTTGAAACACATACACTACCAATCACACATCCGGCCAATTTAGCTTACCCAATTAATCTATAGCACATGTCTTTGGACTTTAGGGTAAACACACGTCAACACAGGGAGAACATGCAAACTCCACACAGAAATGCCAACTGACCCAGCCGGGGCTCGAACCAGCGACCTTCTTACAGGGCTAACTGCACAGTGCCTGTACAACATCTAAGCTAGTGTTTTAAAGTTAAGCAAATTGACGCAGATGTCAATTAATTAGCACACAAAAAACACTTACCCGGATGTAGCCCTCTAAACAAACATGCTGCCGCGTGAACTTGAGCGTCTGTTTATCTGAAAGAGCTTTGCCAGGTATGTTTACAAATACGAGGAATTTGTTTTCTTGACAGAATATATCAACCCAAAACACTCGTATTTTTCTCCATCTCAGAGGAATAATCAACGACTAATCATTTTGTGTGTTTCTGTTTTACAACGGAACAAATGTACTCAAAGGAAAACAAAGGTGTTTTTCTGTCGACGGACGGCCTAACAGACAACACACGGTTGCCGCTGGGTGTCGCTCTGGAGCAACAAATGGTTACAAATCTCCCCCACCCCCTAAACATATACTCTGACTGTGTGCGTATGTGTATCGCCGAGAAAGTAAGTCTGTGTTTCCAGCTGACTGCTCGCTCTCTCTTAGTGTGTGTATGTGTGTGTATATGTGTGTGTTGTCATTATTATTATCCAGTCTGCTCCCAGCTCAGAATGGCCAGATTCACTCAGACTGAGACAAGAAGGGAGCAGCACCCACAGCCGCCCCATCCCGCTTACTCCAGCCTGCTTTTCACTGGACCCGGGGCAGCACCGACCCAACATCCACTCCTCCTAATCCCGCACCAGCACCAGTACGCTCAGATCCCATTTCCTAAACCCATGAACGGGTCAGAATCCATCTCCATTCATCCGGAGAACGGCACCATGAAAGACCAAGATGCCATAAAACTCTTTATCGGGCAAATACCGCGGAACCTTGAGGAAAAAGACCTGAAACCATTATTCGAACAGTTTGGGAAAATCCACGAATTGACAGTATTAAAGGACCGATACACCGGCATGCACAAAGGTAAACGCGTGATTCCCTTAATGAGAGTGTGATTTGAGCTTGTAAACACTACCATATATTATTGTTTGTTTTTGGAATGACACAAAAATAATAATTAGACCTGGTGAATGTTTAGTTTTTACAAATATTATTTTGCCTTCTGCACAAAATGTACCCAATTCATTAGTGACGCATGCAATATTCTAATATTTATTATGATTCATGCATACATTTTTTGGTCCACTGTCATGTCAACATAAAACCCTAATATAAATATATAAAGCTTTCTAATATAAGGCCGCTTTAGGTACTATTTTACACTTAATCTACATCGTTTACAGATAACTTATCAGCTTAGCTTTGGGTGTTTGCATGAATATTCATATTTATTCTCAAATAAAGCGCCTTTCTTTATGGCAGTTTAATATTGGATGCTTTGGAACTGGGGCAAAGAGGCTTAGAAAATAATTCATATTTAAAGAGTCATCTGCATCTTCCATTCTTTTTAATAGGGAAATATTCCCACTGCCTCCTTGTGCACAGTTCTGACGATAGAACATGCGTTCTAGGCTTTCCAATAACAAAAAAATAAATAAATTAACTGGTAGCTATTAACGATCCCGACAGGTGAGCATTATGAAATGTGAATAATACCCTAACAGTTATATGTACGTGAAGCTGCTTGCTTTTGATTATATTTGCACTTGGAACACGTTCTTTTGTGCGTCATAACGAACTACAGCGCGTTCTATATTGTGGCATGACGCTCTATTTGACAACTGACATGGAGTAGGCTACGTCATACACCCCGCTAAAACAAGAAGAATAACACTAAAATGAAACCATCTTTTTTGGTATAATCTTGTTCTTATCATTTGCTATCCTCAAGCGATATGTGTCGGAAGGAGAATATCCACATTTGTCTTCGTTAGTGTCAGTTACTATTAGCCCTCGTATCAGTGCCGTGTTTATAATTATGCTAATAAGGCTCTATTTGCTCAAGCGTTCATCCACGTTATTTACCCCGTGAGAAGCACTGCTTCGTATGGGGTTTAACTGTGTTTAACATGTCAGAGTAATGTGAACATTGATTTCATGGCCGAGAGTTGTGGGTTTTCATTTGGCCATGTTGGATGGTTTGGGTCGAGAAAACGGGATGAAATGTTAATTTATTCTTAATTTTAGCTCTCTGTGACAAATGCTTAAGCAGAGAGGATTTGCAAGACAAAATGTGCTGTTTCAGAGGGGAATTTATGGCTACTTAGCCTACATCAAGTCAACTGTTGAGTGTGCCAATTCTGAACTGAAATGGTATTCACAAGTCAATCCATGATCAAATGGCATCCAGTAGCATGTTGATTATTATATTGTTTGTAAATTTAACACGTTTAGACTATGTCAAATGTGGTCACAAACATTTCCTGCTTGATTTCAAGCTATTTCATAACTAACAAGAGGCAAATCAATCATTACTTAATGTTAAAACAGCTAACATAACATTTATTAATATGTGGATTTTTTGGATTCTCTAAAGCTTTAAAAATGAAAAAGAAATACTTTTAACCATTGTTTTTGTTTACATCTCTCAAAATGGTCTATAGCAAATAATACAAGACAGAAACACAGGAGTATCCAATCTGAGTTGACTGTTCCTCAATAAGCATACTCTTGGGCATTGATGGATGTGGATACACCTTATCTAGTGCATTACTGTGAGCTGAATTGTCCTATCAATTAGTCGTCTAAAATATAGAGCTTGTACTTCTAAAACCTGAAGCGAATTTGCATATTTGAGCCATTGGGTTCCCTCAGGAATTTCCTGTGTATTTTTATAGTGGTGATTTTCCATTTATTAGTAACATTAGGGGTGTTGTGGGTAAGTTCCACATAAAGCATAAATTATGAAACCATGCTATTCTTTGGAAGTTGTTAAAAAATAGGGTTGTTCTTGTTTAAAATTAAACGTTCATTTATTTTAAAGCCTATTATTAATTCCTGAAGACCTACAAATTGACCTAATTACTGAATAGCTGCTTTTGTTTTTTTTATGCAAATGATGGTTCTGTACATATCATTATGAACTCGCTGTCAGTGCCAAATTACACCATCATAGGCCCAATTTGTTTTTCATCCGATTGTACTGGTGGTGCTTTGCCTTTGGGACAGGAACTGAATATGAGTTCTAAAGAATCGTACAGAGAATTGGCTCTTCAAGATGGAATTTCTTTTCATCTTATGTATTATTCTGTGAGGGGATGTGCAGATAAGAACAAGTCAGCAAATATTTACATACACTTTTTTTTTTTTGTCAGCTTAGAGATTGTGCAGTCTTGCGAGCAGTCTCAATATGGACTGCATTGGTGATGTAGACCCCAAGGTTGTTTAAATGTTTGGCTAAAGCGTGGCTGAGGATGCAAATAGGATTTTTCATCCAAAACCTGACAAAGGAGCACAGTGGATGAATGTTTGTCAGTACTCATTGTGAAAGCCTATGAATACGATTTCACTGAGCATGAGCGTTTTAGCTGTACAAATAAGACATTTGTATATCTGTTTCATCGCTGAGTTCTGTTTTAAAGAGTTCTCATGACTAAAGGGATCATATGTTGGTTTCAAAGTGGGGAGCATGTTTCGGTGCTAAGTCAGCTTGCTAATCCACACAGGAAAACACAGCATTAGTTTGCTAAGCGCGGTAATAAACCATGACCATAATGACGGAGGAGGATTAGCAACTGTAGTTATTGTCTGAGGTTGCGGTGGCTTGGATCACTTGGTTTGTCCCTTTACAGTGACTGCTTCTTTGCAATTAAAGCATGCTGTAGTCGTTTTAGCCTGCAGTGTTCAATATGAACAGCTATTATGAGGTCTGTTTCATAGGCCTAACAATTGCTTCCTCTTGATTTGTATTAACAGGTGAGCTTTCCCCCTTCAGGCTTTTTACCTGTGATCAGTTGAACTCAGCATTTTATTAAAGTTTTTATATTTAGTATCAGGTTGGAAATGGGTTTTTACATGCACAGCAAAGCTTGAGACACTTGCTATGGTGTATTTGTAATCTTTCATGAGTGTGGTATATAGATCTCTTGCTGCGTTTAGCATAAAAAGACTATTGTGGCTTTGCTTTGAAAGCCTCTTATGCACATTTTGTACTCCGCAGGTGAAGATGTCCAAGGATAAGCTTGCATTAGCTTACAATACAAGAGGCGTGGAGAGCATCTGAACTCTACACAAGACATTACAAGATCCTTTAGACTAAACCTGACGCTGGCTGATTGCCTGTGCTTAATGCCGCTCCATTCACATCTGCTAATGTGGAGTATCAATACCTAACTGCTTTCAAGAGACCTATTGTGCTTAGACATTTATGAGGGATTGAGAACTTCGTATAAAGTATATAAAAATCGTATGAAGTATTAAACAGTTTTAATTTCTGTTCTTTCTCATGCCGACAGATTGAGCAGCAGGGGGGCTGTGGAAAAGCTGAAAGCGGGGCTGTAGAAAGGTTGAGTGCTTATAAAATGTAAAGCTAATCCTGTTGGATTGTAGTTTTATGTGATTTCCAATATCATAAAGAGTTGAGCTAGGACTAAAATTGCTCTGATGCCTTGGCGTAAAATAGCATCTTAAATTGACTTATAAATAGGAAGATAAAACCTATTTTATTTGTTTCAACCATGTTGTGTTCATGCTAATACGTTCATATTTGTACTTAATTTTATTTTTTATTTTTTTATCTGTTTGAACAACAATATCTCTCTGCAGTTCAGTATCTTTTTGATTTAGTGGCTAATTTGTATAGATTTGTACAATTTGCTCATTCCCCAATAATGTTTGGATTTATTGGTTGGGTTGGGTGGCATGCCTCCTTTTTAACCCTTTGACTGTCGCTCTACCAAACGGTTGACCGCGATTATACTGTTATAAATAATGACTGTTAAAGTAATTTAAAGAATGACTGTTTTAAATAATGGCTTATGAACACACACCATTGTTGGTTTACAAAAAAAATATCCCGCAAACGTAATCATGTTGCACTACTATGCTTGATTTTGGTTTTATTGTAAAAAAAAAAAAAAAAAAAAAAAAACGAAAACAAAAAAACAAGGCATGTTAAATCTAAAAATATTTTATGGCATACTTCAAAAAATAAAGGTGATTTAGTATTCAAAAATGTTTTATTTTGAATATTTTTTAAATAAATTGGTCTTACACTTCATATTTTCAAAATTTTCTTAGTATATGTATTAGTTCCGGTACTTTTACCATAAACCGACATCCGACATAAACCATTTGGTTGAGGCTGATATTTGAGAAATTATGGGATGTGTTGAAAAAAAAAGCATTGAGTGTGTCAATTAGCGACATTGAAGTTTCTTGGTGGGTTAGTTAAAGGGTTAAAATTGTACATTTTTATACGAATGAACTAACAAAATGTAAAATACTACATTTCCACGTGAGATCAGGCTTGTTTTGACCCTGTTGGTATAGGACCTTGATAAGTTGAAAAATATTTATATTTTTAGGATGTGTTCACACTTGGAAGTCTTATTGGCTTTGCATTAAGATTGGAATGCTGCCATTCCAATCTTCATGCAAAACCAATAAGAGGTTTTAATTGAAAACATGCTTGACAAGTTATTTTTATGAGGTCTCTCTTTAGTATAAAAAATGCCACTGGCTCCACTCTGGAAGTCAAATATGTCTCTTGGCTTTTTTTATGCTTTAAAAGTTGTCTGACAGTCCAAAGACTCAAACATCTGTAAATACTGTAACACACAACAAGGCCAATTCATAAAAAATGCAATGCTTCAGCAGCTCTTCTGGCAGGAACCGTAGCTCTGAATGTCAGGATGAGATGTTCCTTCCTCCACCGGCAAGCTTTGCTTTGAGCTACTGGCCACTTATCTCCCCTTTACCTGCTTTTAGATGGACTTCCCTTTATGCGGAGAAGGTTATTTCTCTTTTTAGATGGAAAATGTGCTTTTTTTTAAGGCCATTACCATTCATCAGGAGATGGCACA